AATTCTTTGCAATGAACGTCTTAAGTAAATATATTATTGTTAAAATAATAATGGACTTCCAATGAAATTATATAAAAAGTCCAGCAAATGTAAGGAATTTTATTAGTATCGTGAACATCTCTTGTGGATATTATACACAATATTAAAGTGAAACTATTCTACAAATATTATATTATTCGAAATATGAATCTTATAATTGTTTTAACTGTAATATTTTTGGTAAATAATTCAACAAACCTTAAAAAAAAAAATAACAATTAAATAACAATATTTATTTAGGTTAAATTTAGCAGCGCACAGGTTCCAGGAGTATTAGATGTAGATATTCTCAATACTAATAATCCACCAGATGCCACTCCACCTGTAGTCGATGTAGATCTTTTGAACATTAACAATCCACCTGCATCACCTACAGGCGCTGGTCCTGTAGGTCCTCCACCTCTAGTAGATGTAGATGTCTTGAATGTTGGTCCCCCAGATTCTGGTACGGTAACAGTTGATATTTTGAATACTCCACCGCCACCTGGTACTCCACCACAAAATTTCGATGTGACAATAACAACATCTGGTACAATATGCCAACCAGGTTGTAATGCACCTCTTACAATTATAAGGCTTGATACTTGCAGCGGTAATACAATGTCAAATAGTCAATATTTAATATATGTCAAGGTTGTGAATGGAAAACTGGTTGGTAATTTAGTTATGAATCCTTTATTATGTGGAACATCATGTCATCCTCAACCACCACCGCCGTGTTCTTCAGGACAACAAATTTATTGTTGTAAAACAACATCTTCAACAAGTTGCAATCCATGTACTCCAGCTTTAATATGCAATTTATGTTCTTAAAATTCACTTATATGGATTCCGTGTTTGATATTTTTTTATCATATTAAAAAATGAAATAATTAAAAAAAAAATATAATAATTTGTTTATTGCTTCTCGCTTACATTACATTTCTATAGTTTTATTCCACTATTGTTTCTGTAGTTTTTTCATTTCAAATTAAAAAAATTATCAAAGTAAACGATTTAATCGCTCCTTTTAGGATATTAATATTTTACATAATATAATTATGAAAAGGATGAAAAAATCAAATGAAACTAAAAAATGTTGTCGTGAATATGAAATTAATTTGAATTGATTTGAGGGTTATAATTAACTTTAAATTTTTTTAACTGCGTCGAGCTTTTCTATTGAAATTTATATTTTTGTATAATGCATAATATTAATTCCGTATCAGTCTATTCTGTACTTCATCAAAACTCTTTGAAATTGCAATTCAAAACGTAAATACGTAAATTTTTTCTGAACGTTGGCAGCAATTTTAGTTCCTTGAATTGCAATCCCAGAAACTAAGCAATATGTCGCCAAATGTTATATGTTCTTGCGATTGTGTGTTTCAAACAAAGAGGTGTTGATAGCTATTTCATATAAACTATACTTTGTAATAATGTAGATCACTTTTTAAAGCAATGTGAAGCCGGTAATTTTTTCATGCCTCTGTATCTCAATTGATAATCGTTTGAAAGACTTAAAGTGAAAAAATGGCTTTAAAAATTTATTTTTCTGTAGAGACTCACTTTTCTGTATCAAGATGGCTTTATCCGAGAGATGCATTTTTTCCTCTTGTAATAACCTTTTAATTAAGTCTTCTTCTTTTATTTATAGTTTCCTTTTAAGATTTTGCTACCCAAGTTTGGTTTATTATGTTATATATACTTCAAAACAAGGTTCTCCTCATTTAATGAAGAGTTTTATTGCAAAATCGAAGTTCAAGTCAAACCAGTTCAAGTTAAGATTGATTCTGAAAGTAAACTGCGCATATTTTCACAATTAAACTTCAATAACTCCCAAAACTTAAATTTTTATTGCAATATTACTCCCGAAATCATACAAAATAAAACAGAAAATTATTCCGATGGTAAATATGTGAAAAATGTGTAAGACGTAATATGTGTTATATTTATATTAGCAAGCTTTAATGCTTAAAATTTAATAAAATTTAATAGCTGTACAAAACCAAACTTTACTATGAAGCGATAAATATTAAAAATCCTAAAATTATGCAAATTAAAATAATACTCAAAATACTTAAAACCATTTTCATAAGTTTTTCTTAACATATTGTAATAAATTTGTAAGGTATGCAAATGTATATTACATCATTTGCAAATCTAAATGTGCGCAAGTTATATTGACTGGATTTTTTTATATACATATTTTTTATATTTATATAAAAAATATATATAAAATATTATTTCAGCTTTAAAAAATTTTGAAGGTATAAGTACAGGACTTTTACATACACTGAATAAAATTGAAGAGTAATAAAACAATAAATGTACCTCATGAAATCTCTTAAAAATTGCAATTGAAAACGTAATATGTAAATTTTTTCTGAACGTTAGTAGCAATTCTAGTTTCTTGTATCCCACAATGCAAGGCAGAATTGCTATCCCAGAAAGGTGTTGATCTTTTCTATCCGTAACATGTTAATTTTTCGAAGAATACAAATATTGCAAATCTATTCCTAAATTTATGCAATTCAACTCAATTTCGAATTTTGGTGTAAATGCTAATAACAATTGCGTTTTTAGCATAGCAAGCTTGTATTAATTTGAACACTGGGAAATAATAATCTGAAATATAGATTTACATAATTATTATGTGCATTCTTGTAGAATATTGAATTCTTAGTAGATTTGACTTAGTAGATGTACTCCCGTTCATCCATCCCTTTATCACAATGGCATATCAAAGAGTATTTGGTGTAAGCTTAATAAATTAAAAAAAATTAAGCTAGGGGATAACCAGATAATTATTGTAAAGTTAGCCAGATAATAATTCGAATGGGTATGGAACAGTAATTTGGGTATATTTCAAATATGGTTTGAAATTTTGTAAATACGGTAAAATAGTAAAGTAAAAATACTTAATTGAAATAGACGTTTTATGAAAATTTCGATAGCTTCAGAAATATTAAATTTCAGATATAAACGAAGAGACGAAATTAATTCGCAACGTTTTATTTGCTTTTCCTTTTTAACATTTTCCAAAAAAAAATTGAAAAACAAAGTGCTTATCAGTTTCTTTCTGTCCATCTACGAACATGTTTGCAAAACTTTTATATCCTTGAAGATAGAAGGCTCAAATCTCATATTTACTAGCCACGTATTTCCGAAGAAGAGAATTTTTAGCTCTCTCATCCTCTAAAAGTTATAGCCACCAAAACTAATTATTGCATGAAAACAATCAAAAGCAGTCTGAAAATTTAGCAGCTATTAGACACTAATAATTAGTTCAGAAGAAAATTTTATTTCCCCCTTCACCCCCTCTGAAATTGTTGCCTTTCAAAATCATGTAAAATACAAATTTTTAACAGCTTATATTTCTGAAACTGTAAGCTTTTCCTAATTTTTATAAATGCAGAAAGGTAACGGTAAATTTCATGACGATAAAAAATATAAATATTTTTCTGAAATCAGGAAATTAGTACTTAAATTCGAGCATTATGTTACCGTCAATTCAAATAATTTTTTTTTGGTTTATTTCAAAAATAGAATATATTGCTCACCCCAAACGTATGCAATATTTTTAAACATATTTCTATATGAGTAAAAGAAATTTTAATAATGTAGTGCATCGCAAGATTGTTTTTAAAAGCAGTATCTTCCTTTGTTGAAGGGAAAAGTGCTACATTACAAACCATTGGATTGACTCAACTATATTTAGATTTATTTTTTTTTGTAACAATATCACTTATGAAAATTAACTTTATATGTATAATATGTATATATTTTTGTTTAAATATTTTCAAGCAAGTAACTTATCAACAATTGCTTGAATTAATTGAACAATTGCTTGGTGATTTCTTGAATTAGTCCATAAAGTACATTTTATAACTGGACCATTAATTTCTAAATATTAACAACTGCTAAACACAAATTGTTCGTGTTTTCATTGCCTGGGGTAGCATGCAGATAGCCAACTTAATTTTGTTCTCTGGTTTTACACATAAAAACAAAAATCGTTACAACTAATATTTCGTATCACTTGAGCATTGACATGAAATTTAAAAAAAAAAATTCATTAACCAAAATTGTTTTATACCCTAAAAATAAGTTTGTTTTAAAAATACTTTAATAACTTTCAAGTTCAATATCACTTATAAAATCAATAAAATTGCAACTTTTTGGATGATTTTATTTATTTTAAATTTTTTATAAAGAATCAATGGACATTTTATCTAAAATTATAACAAGAAACTAAAGGTAAATGCACTAAAATTTAAATAAAATATTTTAAAATTTAATATTCTACCTTGGTACCTTTAAAAAAAAAATTATTTTTTATTTTTGTTACTACCTTTGCGTAGACAGTTTTTTAACTATGAATGCTTTGTTTGAGTAAAACAATCAGGTAAAGTTGCAGATTTTTTATAGATTCTATAAAAACCTAAGTATATCAAGAAACTTAAAGCAGTTCCTCTATGAAAACTTGTTTAGTTTCGCAAGAAAGTCATTTGAAAAATTTGATTAATTTGTTTTAGAAACCTTACATTTAAAAATTCAATAATGAAATTAAACAAGTATTGACTTTTACCGAAATGGCAATGTTGTTAGTAGCCATTTTGTAAGTTTTTTTAACCTTTTTACTTAACTTAATAATAATTTATTTAAGATATGTGATTTTATTTTTGGATTTTTCTGTTTGATTAAACAAGTAAATTTTTTTAGTTGAATCTAAAATTAAAAACAAATGTCAATATGAAACTCAATTCAATTAAATCTACAATTCTATTTATATTGTTTAAAATATAAAGCGTACCATTTAAATCAATCCAAACTTTAGAATTAACGATTATTTCAATCAGAATAATTAAAAAATTGCTATATAAATAGTTGAAATCCAACATATGAAGTTATCATTCGTTCGCGAATAATTGGAAGTCCACTTAAGTCATTAAGACAAAAGATTAACAAAAAAAACAAAAATGTTTGTGTTAACTTTAATATCCTTAGCATTGACATTTGGATTGGTAAGTTATATAAACACAAAAAAATAAAAGATCGAAATTAAAAAAAAAACTATTTTCAGTGTTATGGTAATCCATGTGGCGGAACTTCCCCTGTTGTAACTCTACCAATAATAACAGGACCAATAAGTACAAGCAGTAGTTTTAGTGATGCTTTTGCATCTAGTCAAGCAATAGCTACTGGCTTAGATTCTACGGCTTCAAGTTTAGCTAGCTCTTTAGCTGCAGCTAATTCTCAAAGCTATAGCGGTATTTTGGGTGGCAGTGTTTCATTTGCAACCGGCGCCGCTGATAGTTTAGCGAACTCAGTAGCTTGGACCGGATCACAAACGGCAGATTTATCAGCTAGCTTAAGTGAAGCTAGCTCAATTAGTGATTCTCTTTCATTAAGCGGATTTTATGGAACACCTTTAGATTTTGCGACAGGTTTTGCAAATACATTGGCTTTAGCAGACAGTTCTAGTAATGCTGTAAGTTCCAGTTCTTCTAACGGTGCAGGAAATGCTTACAGCTTTAGTTCAGGCACTGGTGCTGGTAATAGTTATACCTGGACTATACCTAGCTCTTCTGGAGGATCACAAAGTTCGAGTAGTGCAAACAGTGCTAGTAATGCAGTAAGCTCTAGTTCATCTAATGGATTAGGCAGTGCTTACAGTTTTAGTTCAGGCACTGGAACTGGTAACAGCTACACCTGGGTTGTACCCAGTTCTTCAGGAAGCTCACAAAGTTCGAGTAGTGCGAATAGTGCTAGTAACGCAATAAGCTCTAGTTCATCTAATGGATTAGGCAGTGCTTATAGCTATAGTTCCGGCAGTGGACTTGGCAGCAGTTACAGTTATTCCAGTTCTCCTGCAACTTCACAAAGCTCAAGCGTTGCTCAGAGTTCTGCAAATGCCCAAAGTGCTAGTTCGTCGACCATATTAGGTATTGCCGAGTCTTCAAGTACAGCAAATTCGTTAGCTACCGCAGTTAGCTCTGCCACATCACAAGCTACTAGTATTGCTTCTAGTTCAGCAGCTACTTTGAGTAGTGCAGTGGCATCTTCCGTAGTAACTCAAACATTAACTATACTGAGCAGTCTTTCTAGCACAATTAGTATTGCGTTTTCACAAATTCTTGCATTGACCAGTGGAGTAACAGGAATTTTGTCTCTTCTTTTAACATTACTCGGAAGCATTGGAATAGTTACGCTAGATTTACAAGCATTTCTCAATATTCTTTTGGGGTTAAACCTTAATGGTGTTGGTGCGGTTTTGGGTAATCTGTTAGTACTCCTTGGAAATTTATTACAACCTGTTGTGGGAATTATTTCAGGATGTGGTCCGTTATCAAATTTACTGCCAATTCTCGTCGGGTCTAATACCATTTCTGTCATAAACAACTTATTTGCTCAAATAGGAGCGGTAATTAACGCTCTTTTACAATCAGTTGGTGGTACATCAATAACTTTAACCAATGGAATATTATTAGCACAACAGCAAATATTAGTAGGAAGTAATGGAATTCAAGCAATTTTAGCTCTTGTACAATCAACTTTAGGATTAATTATAAGTCAGACAACATCTACTTTAATCGGGCTCTTGCAAACCTTAGGAGTTGGAGGAAGTTTACAAATATTACTTAACGGACTATTAAATGGTGTTTTTGGACTTATTTTGCAACTGGTTGGCGTAATATCAAATGACAAAATTTGCGCTTTATTATCTTCATTATTCACTCTATTAATAAAATTAGGTGAATTACTTAGTACCACATTTAAAAATTTAGCTGCTATATTCGGCGGATGCGGTTGTTCTTGTACTCAAGATAAAATAGTTGCAGCTTTAATAATATTGCGACAATTAATTGGGTCAATATCAGTTCTTGTTACAGGACTTGTTGGTTTTAGTGGTGGGTTCAATATTATTGGGCAAGTATTGCCTTGCTAAATATAACATTAGATTCAATGTGAATAAAATTTTGACAGCAAACTTTAAATTACTAAACTAACCAATTTTACCATTATGGTTCCAATAATTTAAGAGTTTTCATAAATAAATTTTCAATAAAATTGAACATTTGGTAAAAAATTCTTTGTTTTTTCTTTTTTTATAATCTTTAAGTTTACAACAAATAAGTTTTCATTGAAAAATTAAATTTCAAATTTCTATTTTAAGTATAAAGATTTTACATATTAAGTAAATTGTTTCTTGAACTACAAATCAATAATTAGTACTCAAAATTTTGAAATTTGTAAGTATTTTTTCAAAGGTGTAATAATTCTAATAACAAAACATCAATAATTAGACTTATTCAATTATTCGAAAGTTGAAACGAAATTCTTAAATTTCGTCTGCTGGTATTGGATAAAGGAAAGTAGTCATTCCTTCCTGAAAAATTTATTTCCAAATTAAAAATATTAAACAGCATTGGTATATTTTTTAAGGAATGCAACAAATAGTAGACATTTTTCATTAATCTAGTAGTTGTGAAAAATATTATAAGCTTAAGAAAACGTTCTTATGATCACAATGTCATTGAAATTTTAATAGCATAAGTAGTTAAGCAAAATTACAATATAATGTAATTTTTATCTGTGAAATAAAGTAAAGTATAAAAATAAAAATTTTTATATTCTCTAATATAGGATTTAAAGCCATCCAAAAAAAATTTATAAAGAGGCTTAACTATACTTGTTAACTATATTAAACTTGTTAGCTATATTAAATAAACTATATAAAGGTATCTTAAATAATGATTTTTTGTAATTAGTCAAGTAGTCAAATATTTGCTCAATTACTTAAACCTTAATTGGATCAGTAACTTCTCTTAAAATTCATTATTCCTTTACCTTTTAACTTGATCCAGTGATCAAGTTAAAAGGTTTTAAGACAGCTGTTTTATAACAATTTCTACTACATTTGTATTTCATTTTCGGTAATTAGCATACTTTTTAATATTCTTAAAAATTAAAATTCTTTTGGTGGACATAATACTTTTAATTCCTTGCTGAAATACCAAATGAGAGTTTTAAAAACATATTCAAACCGAAGGAACCTTAAATATATTAAAAAGCTAAAATAAATTAAATTAACAATTTTTTGCTTTATGCCTTATCATTAGGAAACTTCCCTGCCTCATGTTAAGCCAATAATCTTGCAGCCTAATTTTTTATTGATAGAAATTGAAATTTTCATACGTAAAAATAATTATTATTGATGATGCTGACAATAAATTAATAATTTCTATATTACATAATTATGATGTGAAGTTTAGTTTTACAATATTGTAAATACTATGCTTTATAATGTTGGAAAGTAACTTAAAATTTTTAAAGAAATCAATGTATTTTGTAAAATTAATTACAATATATATTTTATGTATACTCTCTCGGATAAACCCTAATTTACTGTTTGTTGGACATAAGAAAAATTTATGTAAATGCATAATATTGTGACCAGAACTACCAGAAATATGTATTTTTTAATTTTAATATTTTTTAATTGAATTATAAAGCTAAATCAAATAATTCGGGGGCTTTTTGATTTCGGAACCCTAAACTTTAACTTATCATGAAATTATGAGTATATTTGCCAATAAATTAAACATAGTTTCTTTTTATTTATTTTTATTTCTTATTTGTTTGACTTTCTTTACATAAATCATGCTGGATTTATTTAAAGTAAGATAAAAATAAAAGTTTCACATAGAAACTGATAAAATTGTTTAACATATAATGAACGGGCCTTAAAACATATTATGTATATATTTTGAAAAATAATGGCTAAAATTTCCTATAATATATTTATTATATGTAAAATTTACTAAATAAGAACTATGTATTCTTTATTATAAAACAGTAATTATTTATAACAAAAGTTTAAATGAATTTAATTTAATGAAATCTAAATCAACATTTTTCATAAGATTACTTTTAATTGACTTTTATAAAAGTAGTTATACAGCCCTTACAAAATTTACGTTACCGCAGAAATTGCTGTATTGCTGAAATTCACGAATGAAAGAAACTTCATATATCACGATGTTAAACTTTTAGATATGCGAAAACTTTCATCATCTTTTAGAACCAGGTTAATTTGTAAAAATTAGAGAAATACTGTTGTAACTGGTAAAATTTCAGGTGTTACCATACAAACTATTAGTAATTATATGGGAAACTATTAGTAATTATACCTGTACAGACGTATGTTCGAAAGGTTTGCATGGGTATAATTACTAATTTAAGGGTAAATTTATCGCTCTAAGAAATTATTGTCTGAGACATAAACCATTATTTCTTTGCGTTACATATATGTTTTTGATCAGCGTCGAATTCTGAGTCTGTAATGGTAAAAACCGGAGCCCTATTTAAATTGGATAGTCAGCGGTGGTTCGGGTAGCTGTTACGCAACTTAAAAAACTAATTGGCTATATTTTAGAAAGCTATCTTATCGAAATTTGGCACAAGCAAACATATTATTAAAGCTGTTATGTGTGATAAAAATTATTGAAATTACTTGACTTCTTCTAGTAGCCGCCATACAACTTTAAAAGTTACTTGGTCATAGCTTAGAAATTGTGGAAGCCACGGTACAGAAGTTTTGCAAAAACTATTATGGTGAAATGGTCATAATTTTCGGATGAAGCAGTTAAGATATCATGAGCACTTGTGATAGCTGCCATACAACTTCGAAAGTTATTTGGCTAGATCACTGAAATTAAAAGATCTTAAGAACTAAAATTTCAGACAAGCAAATATCTTATTAGGACTCTTATGTTTAATAAAACTAGTTGAAATATTTTGACTTGTGATGGTAGCTGCCATACAACTTTGCCATTTGGAAAGCCATTTGGTCGCATATTATGAAAAATATTAAAATTAAAGTGCTAAAATTTTTCATAAACAAAATGGTTTATGAAAAATTTCCCTATTCTGCTTTTTTTTATAATTTTTTAAGTTGTTACAATGTTAGACAAATTTCGCAATAATTCCATAAAAGCCCCCAAAACTGCCATTTATTTTTAAACTCAGCAGATGAAAGAACACATTTTGTGCTACTGCATAGAAACGAAATTTTGATGGTGATGCAATTTCAAAAAAAAAAAAAACTTTTAAAAACAGTTTAATTTCTAACTTCACGTTCTTTGCAATTACCAAATCTCTCTTTCTGCTAAATATTTTTTAAAAAAAATTTACCGAAAGAATCTCAAATAAAATATACGATTCGCCGAAAATAATTTTCAATTCTATAATTTGACTGCCAGCGTTTCAAAAAGAATATGTTATTTTCAAAAATTAAATTCAACTTCAATTCAATACCAAATAAGAATAAGAAAATCTATCTAAATATAAAAAAATCAACTATTTTTAAAATAATACACCTCACAACCTTACAACTAACCAAACAAAAAGATATTTTAATATCATCTAAAATTAAAAAAAGTCCCGAAACAAATCATCTTATTTTAATAAAATTATTTATAGAATATTATAAATATTACATACATATTTCGATACCATTAACTTTTGGAAAAAATTTTAAAAAAGTTTAGTATAAATACGTGATTTACATTAATTGAGTTATCATTCGCTTGCGAATAGTTAAAAGTTATATTATCAGAACTTAACTAAAACACTACTTAAACCTTTTAAAAAAATTGTAAAAATGAAGGCATTTTTACTTCTTACATTGGCGCTAACATGTACGAAGGTAAGATGTTACATATTTATCACAATATTTGTAAAGGATTTCATAAGATATATTTATTATAGATATCGGCAAATCCGTGTTCTCCCGTACCACCTGCACCACCACCAGCACCACCTTGTTCCTCTCCACCTGCTGGATCTCCTATACTAGGTCTATCCTTAACTTCGAGTTTAAGTTCTGCTGTAGCTGGAGCGGGAAGCCTTACAAGTAGCACCAGTGGCTCTGGCGCTGCAAGTTCAGCCCAAAGTTCTGGTCTTGGCTCAGCCGTTTCTTCTGCCATCGGTGGAGCTGGCAGTCTTGCAAGTTCCGCAGCATTGGCAGCAGCATCAGCAACAAGCTCAAGCTCTTCCAGCGGTAACAGTGGTTCAAATTCTGTAAGTTCAGCACAAGGATCCGGTATTGGAGCAGCCATTGCTTCAGGTAGTGGCGGAGCAGCAAGTCTTGCAAGTGCCGCAGCATTAGCTGCAGCAGCAGCAAAAAGTTCAAGTTCGTCCAGTGGTATTGGGGGTTCAAGCTCCTCCAGCTCAGCACAAGGATCTGGTATTGGAGCAGCCATTGCTTCAGGTAGTGGCGGAGCAGCTAGTCTTGCAAGCGCAGCAGCATTGGCAGCAGCAGCAGCAAAAAGTTCAAGTTCATCCAGTGGTAGTGGGGGTTCAAGCTCCATTAGCTCAGCACAAGGATCTGGTATTGGAACAGCCATTGCTTCAGGTAGTGGCGGAGCAGCTAGTCTTGCAAGCGCCGCAGCATTGGCAGCAGCAGCAGCAAAAAGTTCAAGTTCATCCAGTGGTAGTGGGGGTTCTAGCTCCGTTAGCTCAGCACAAGGGTCAGGTATTGGTGCAGCCATTGCTTCAGGTGGTGGCGGAGCTTCTAGTCTTGCAAGCGCCGCAGCTTTAGCAGCAGCAGCAGCAAAAAGTTCAAGTTCGTCCAGTGGTATTGGGGGTTCAAGCTCCTCTAGCTCAGCACAAGGATCTGGTATTGGAGCAGCCATTGCTTCAGGTAGTGGCGGAGCAGCTAGTCTTGCAAGCGCCGCAGCATTGGCAGCAGCAGCAGCAAAAAGTTCAAGTTCATCCAGTGGTAGTGGGGGTTCAAGCTCCATTAGCTCAGCACAAGGATCTGGTATTGGAGCAGCCTTCGCTTCCGGTGGTGGCGGAGCAGCTAGTCTTGCAAGCGCCGCAGCTTTGGCAGCAGCAGCAGCAAAAAGTGCAAGTTCATCCAGTGGAAGTGGGGGTTCAAGCTCTATTAGCTCAGCACAAGGTTCTGGTATTGGAGCAGCTATTGCTTCAGGTAGTGGCGGGGCAGCAAGTCTTGCAAGTGCCGCAGCATTAGCTGCAGCAGCAGCAAAAAGTGCAAGTTCATCCAGTGGTAGTGGGGGTTCAAGCTCCATTAGCTCAGCACAAGGTTCAGGTATAGGTGCAGCAGTTGCTTCAGGTAGTGGCGGAGCCGCTAGTCTTGCAAGCGCTGCAGCTTTGGCAGCAGCAGCAGCAAAAAGTGCAAGTTCATCCAGTGGTAGTGGGGGTTCAAGCTCTATTAGCTCAGCACAAGGTTCTGGTATTGGAGCGGCCTCTGCTTCCGGTGGTGGCGGAGCAGCTAGTCTTGCAAGCGCCGCAGCTTTGGCAGCAGCAGCAGCAAAAAGTACAAGTTCATCAAGTGGTAGCGGGGGTTCAAGCTCCATTAGCTCAGCACAAGGTTCAGGTATAGGTGCAGCCGTTGCTTCAGGTAGTGGCGGAGCCGCTAGTCTTGCAAGCGCCGCAGCTTTGGCAGCAGCAGCAGCAAAAAGTTCAAGTTCATCCAGTGGTAGTGGGGGTTCAAGCTCCATTAGCTCAGCACAAGGATCTGGTATTGGAGCAGCCATTGCTTCAGGTAGTGGCGGAGCAGCTAGTCTTGCAAGCGCCGCAGCATTGGCAGCAGCAGCAGCAAAAAGTTCAAGTTCATCCAGTGGTAGTGGGGGTTCAAGCTCCATTAGCTCAGCACAAGGATCTGGTATTGGAGCAGCCTTCGCTTCCGGTGGTGGCGGAGCCGTTAGTCTTGCAAGCGCTGCAGCTTTGGCAGCAGCAGCAGCAAAAAGTGCAAGTTCATCCAGTGGAAGTGGGGGTTCAAGCTCTATTAGCTCAGCACAAGGTTCAGGTATAGGTGCAGCCGTTGCTTCAGGTAGTGGCGGAGCCGTTAGTCTTGCAAGCGCTGCAGCTTTGGCAGCAGCAGCAGCAAAAAGTGCAAGTTCATCCAGTGGTAGCGGGGGTTCAAGCTCCATTAGCTCAGCACAAGGTTCAGGTATAGGTGCAGCCGTTGCTTCAGGTAGTGGCGGAGCCGTTAGTCTTGCAAGCGCTGCAGCTTTGGCAGCAGCAGCAGCAAAAAGTGCAAGTTCATCCAGTGGAAGTGGGGGTTCAAGCTCTATTAGCTCAGCACAAGGTTCAGGTATAGGTGCAGCCGTTGCTTCAGGTAGTGGCGGAGCATCTAGTCTCGCAAGTGCCGCAGCTTTGGCAGCAGCAGCAGCCAAAAGCTCAAGTTCTTCCAGTGTTGGCGGGGGTTCTAGCTCCGTTAGCTCAGCACAAGGTTCAGGCATTGGTGCAGCCATTGCTTCAGGTAGTGGCGGAGCCGCCAGTCTTGCAAGCGCCGCAGCTTTGGCAGCAGCAGCAGCCAAAAGCTCAAGTTCTTCCAGTGTTGGCGGGGGTTCTAGCTCCGTTAGTTCAGCACAAGGATCCGGTATTGGATCAGCCATTGCTTCAGGTAGTGGTGGAGCCGCCAGTCTTGCAAGTGCCGCAGCTTTAGCTGCAGCAGCAGCACAAAGCTCAAGTATATCTAGTGGTAGCGGGGGTTCTAGCTCCGTCAGCTCAGCACAAGGATCCGGTATTGGAGCAGCCATTGCTTCAGGTAGTGGGGGAGCCGCCAGTCTTGCAAGCGCAGCGGCTTTGGCAGCAGCAGCAGCTAAAAGTTCTAGCTCCTCCAGTGGTAGTGGGGGTTCAAGCTCCATTAGCTCAGCACAAGGATCCGGTATTGGAGCAGCCTTTGTTTCTGGCAGTGGCGGAGCCGCTAGTCTCGCAAGCGCAGCCGCTTTAGCTGCAGCAGCAGCACAAAGTTCAAGTTCATCCAGCGGTAGTGGGGGATCTGGCTCCGTTAGTTCAGCACAAGGTTCAGGTATTGGAACAGCCATTGCTTCCGGTAGTGGCGGAGCCGCTAGTCTTGCAAGCGCTGCAGCTTTGGCAGCAGCAGCAGCAAAAAGTTCAAGTTCATCCAGCGGTAGTGGGGGTTCTAGCTCCGTTAGCTCAGCACAAGGATCCGGTATTGGAACAGCCATTGTTTCAGGTAGTGGTGGAGCTGCCAGTCTTGCAAGTGCCGCAGCTTTAGCTGCAGCTGCAGCACAAAGCTCAAGTTCATCTAGTGGTAGCGGGGGTTCTAGCTCCGTCAGCTCAGCACAAGGATCCGGTATTGGAGCAGCCATTGCTTCAGGTAGTGGCGGAGCCGCTAGTCTTGCCAGTGCCGCAGCTTTAGCTGCAGCAGCAGCACAAAGCTCAAGTTCATCTAGTGGTAGCAGGGGTTCTAGCTCCGTCAGCTCAGCACAAGGATCCGGTATTGGAGCAGCCATTGCTTCAGGTAGTGGCGGAGCCGCTAGTCTTGCAAGTGCCGCAGCTTTGGCAGCAGCAGCAGCAAAAAGTTCAAGTTCATCCAGCGGTAGTGGGGGTTCTAGTTCCATTAGCTCAGCACAAGGATCCGGTATTGGAACAGCCATTGCTTCAGGTAGTGGTGGAGCCGCGAGTCTTGCAAGTGCTGCAGCTTTAGCTGCAGCAGCAGCACAAAGCTCAAGTTCATCTAGTGGTAGCGGGGGTTCTAGCTCCGTCAGCTCAGCACAAGGATCCGGTATTGGAGCAGCCATTGCTTCAGGTAGTGGTGGAGCCGCCAGTCTTGCAAGTGCTGCAGCTTTAGCTGCAGCAGCAGCACAAAGCTCAAGTTCATCTAGTGGTAGCGGGGGTTCTAGCTCCGTCAGCTCAGCACAAGGATCCGGTATAGGAGCAGCCATTGCTTCAGGTAGTGGCGGAGCTGCCAGTCTTGCAAGTGCCGCAGCTTTAGCTGCAGCTGCAGCACAAAGCTCAAGTTCATCTAGTGGTAGCGGGGGTTCTAGCTCCGTCAGCTCAGCACAAGGATCCGGTATTGGAGCAGCCATTGCTTCAGGTAGTGGTGGAGCCGCCAGTCTTGCAAGTGCCGCAGCTTTAGCTGCAGCAGCAGCACAAAGCTCAAGTTCATCTAGTGGTAGCGGGGGTTCTAGCTCCGTCAGCTCAGCACAAGGATCCGGTATTGGAGCAGCCATTGCTTCAGGTAGTGGTGGAGCCGCCAGTCTTGCAAGTGCTGCAGCTTTGGCAGCAGCAGCAGCAAAAAGTTCAAGTTCATCCAGCGGTAGTGGGGGTTCTAGTTCCATTAGCTCAGCACAAGGATCCGGTATTGGAACAGCCATTGCTTCAGGTAGTGGTGGAGCCGCGAGTCTTGCAAGTGCCGCAGCTTTAGCTGCAGCAGCAGCACAAAGCTCAAGTTCATCTAGTGGTAGCGAAGGTTCTAGCTCCGTCAGCTCAGCACAAGGATCCGGTATTGGAGCAGCCATTGCTTCAGGTAGTGGTGGAGCCGCCAGTCTTGCAAGTGCCGCAGCTTTAGCTGCAGCAGCAGCACAAAGCTCGAGTTCATCTAGTGGTAGCGGGGGTTCTAGCTCCGTCAGTTCAGCACAAGGATCCGGTATTGGAGCAGCCATTGCTTCAGGTAGTGGCGGAGCCGCTAGTCTTGCAAGTGCCGCAGCTTTGGCAGCAGCAGCAGCAAAAAGTTCAAGTTCATCCAGCGGTAGTGGGGGTTCTAGTTCCATTAGCTCAGCACAAGGATCCGGTATTGGAACAGCCATTGCTTCAGGTAGTGGTGGAGCCGCGAGTCTTGCAAGTGCCGCAGCTTTAGCTGCAGCAGCAGCACAAAGCTCAAGTTCATCTAGTGGTAGCGGGGGTTCTAGCTCCGTCAGCTCAGCACAAGGATCCGGTATTGGAGCAGCCATTGCTTCAGGCAGTGGCGGAGCCGCCAGCCTTGCAAGTGCCGCAGCTTTAGCTGCAGCAGCAGCACAAAGCTCAAGTTCATCTAGTGGTAGCGGGGGTTCTAGCTCCGTCAGCTCAGCACAAGGATCCGGAATTGGAACAGCCATTGCTTCAGGTAGTGGTGGAGCCGCCAGTCTTGCAAGTGCCGCTGCTTTAGCTGCAGCAGCAGCACAAAGCTCAAGTTCATCTAGTGGTAGCGGGGGTTCTAGCTCCGTCAGCTCAGCACAAGGATCCGGTATTGGAACAGCCATTGCTTCAGGTAGTGGTGGAGCCGCGAGTCTTGCAAGTGCTGCAGCTTTAGCTGCAGCAGCAGCACAAAGCTCAAGTTCATCTAGTGGTAGCGGGGGTTCTAGCTCCGTCAGCTCAGCACAAGGATCCGGAATTGGAACAGCCATTGCTTCAGGTAGTGGTGGAGCCGCGAGTCTTGCAAGTGCCGCAGCTTTAGCTGCAGCAGCAGCACAAAGCTCAAGTTCATCTAGTGGTAGCGGGGGTTCTAGCTCCGTCAGCTCAGCACAAGGATCCGGTATTGGAACAGCCATTGCTTCAGGCAGTGGCGGAGCCGCCAGTCTTGCAAGCGCAGCAGCTCTGGCTGCAGCAGCAGCACAAAGCTCCAGTTCATCCAGTGGAGGCTCGGGGGCTGCAAGTTCAGCTCAAGGTTCTGCTATTGGATCAGCGTTGGCTTCTGGTAGTGGTGGCGCTACAGGTTTAGCAAATACCGCTGCTTTAGCGGTAGCAACAGCCCAAAGCTCCAGTTCTTCAAACAATAATAGTGGTTCTTCTAGTGCTGCTACGTCATTAGCTGGCGCCGCATCAAATGCAATTGGTGCAGTTACTTCTCAAGCCAGTAGTACTGCTTCTAGTTCAGCATTCGCTATATCTCAAGCCTCCAATATAGTGACGAATCTTTCGAGTTCGTTAAGTGCTTCAGTAATCCAATTGCTAGGATTAGGTAGTGGAAGTGCCGGACTTTTATCTAATTTACTAGTATATATTGGAAACTTTGCTCCAGCTTTACTAGGAGATTTGAATAGTTCTTTAGCTTCCATCATAAATTCAACGCAATTGACTACGTTATTAACATCAATAATAGGAACAGTAAACCTTAACATTCAAATTCTTTTAAATACTATATTTGGGTTGAACGTAGGAGGCGTTGGTGCAGTTCTAGGAAATTTACTGATAATTCTCGGTAACTTACTACAACCTTTGATTGGAGGTGTAAGTGGTTGGAATGTGTTACAAAATGTACTTGGTGTTATTGGAGGTTCAGTATCTGGGGTCGCAGGCAACATATTTGCTCAGATTGGTCTTGTTCTTCAAGTGCTTCTTGGATCAGTTGGAGGCACCCAAATAATTTTAACAACTGGAATTGTATCAGCTCTGCAACAAATACTTATTGGAACTAATGGAATTCAAATTTTCGTTACTACTTTACTTTCTAACGTGCAGTTATTAATAAGTGAAGTATCAACTACATTACTTGGTCCTCTACAAAGTTTGCTGAGCAGCTTAGGAGCCGCTGGAAGCTTACAATTACTTATTAATGGACTACTGAATGGCGTTTTGGGACTTATCTTACAATTAGTCGGTTTCGTTTCCAATAAAACGCTTTGCGCACTCTTGTCATCGTTATTCAAGTTCTTAGCAGCAATTTCAGATGCTTGGTCAGCTATATTCACTAATTTAAAACTAATTATTGGAGGATGTGGTTGTGCATGTACGAGCGACACTATTGTTGCCATTCTTATAACTTTGCGTCAATTACTTGGTCAAATTTCTATTCTTACAACTGCGATTGCGGGATTGGGTGGTGGATTCGTTATTTTGCCACAACCTACTCCGTGTTAATCATCAGCACATCAATTTAATTTCACGAAGTCGATAGGAGCTATCGACTTGCATTTTCCGAAAATTTATTTAAAATATTTTTTTTAATTTATAAATAAATTAAAATTTTAATAAAATTATAATTTCATTAGAAAAATTTTTTTTCTTGCTTATTTGAAATTTTGCAAATTTACTATTTTCATCGAATTTTTCTAAATACAAAACATTTTGGTTTTGGATTACAAAAAGTGAAATTTAACAAATAACAAACAAAGTTAAAAAAAAAATTTTAAATTCAAAACTTACGGCGATAGTGAAACCGCGATAGCGATAATGTATACGCAGAAGTAATAAAGAGTTTCCAGGTAAAAATGATAATGTTCGATGTCTGCGAAGAAAAAAGCAACAAGTGAAAACGTTTCAGTCGTTGCACCTTTCATTATTACATAGCAGTTACTCTATACTTATAACATGCTGTACAGAATTACTTTATAGCAATTACTCGAACCTATGAAACCATTCTATAGAAACTTCACGGACCTATAATTGGACACATAACTGCCAAATATTATAAATCAAGTTTATTATTTTTCAAATATTTAAAATTCTCTAAACCTGTCAAGCAATTCAACCAAAACTTCAACAATGTATCTGACCTTTAATATTATTTTTCCGAATAATAAAATTTGCGTGTCTAAATCAACGCAGAATTTTACGCTGAGCAAGAATATATATACATATCCATTCCGCGGATAACTCCTTCAAGTTATTACAAACTCCATGTCAAAGTGCAAGGTATAAAAAGGAAATGGAAGAAGTTTCGAATTCATTTTGTTTGCTTTATTTTATTATATATATGTATATAGCTTCTACTATACGGGTAATAGGGCTAGAGACGTCGACAAACGTAATTACTTAGCCCCAGAAAAATATTTATTTTTATGACAAAATTTAATAAGAATATGTTATTTTATTGCATTAAATTTTTACAAATAGGATAATTTGAAAAAGTATTCAGGAGCCGAAACTTGCTGATATTGATTTGTAAGCTTTGTAAAGCTTCACAAAAAAAATAAAAATTTTTAAAGAAATGTTCATCCAACAAATCGCATTTTACGAACCTAAGACTTTTTTATACAAACTGTATGATATACGCCTTACTCTATATACGTTAGTATTAGTGTTAACTGATTCACGCATTTTATTCGCATGTATTAAAAAATCCAAATACATATGTGCATGGATTTTAGTAGCGAATTATTTTATGCGTAAACAGTAATTGACCGCTTAAAGTCAAGTACTAAATCGTTTAAAATAAGTGCTTATTGTCAAAGGTATTTTACAATTTTATGCGACATAACTGAAAGCGAAGTTCCAAAATAAATTACTGAAAAGATATTTTGGAACTTCGCTAATTATTTGTTTAATTATGTACTTTTTGGTAATTATTTTTAAGAGCTTTTCTTATTTCAAGTTTTATTTTATAAAATATTTGGAAAAAAAACATCTATATGCATGTTACGGGTGTGTTTTTGAAGAAAATAGAGTTGGATCAAACCAATGGTTTGTACTCGTATTGTAGTACTTTTCCCTTCAAAAATTGAAAAAACTGCTTTAAAATACAGTATATGTATATCTATCACACAATTAAAATTATTTTCATTCGTAAACGAAACTAATTCTAGGATTGCATATATTTAGGATGAGCGATTTATCTAGTCTTTAAAATAAAACAAAAATTAACTAAAAGAGGGGAAAAAGAAAACTAAAACATAATGTTCCATTTTAAGAGTTTATTGCATGAGTTAAAAAAAATAATTATATTTTTTAATGTCATGGAATTTACCGTTAGCTTTTTGCGTTTATAGAAATTTGAAAAAGCTTACGGTTTTGGAAATATAAGGCGTCAAAAATTCAAAATTTATAAATTTCAAGAGGCGATAAATTCAGAAAGGGTGGAAATGGAAAAAGATTTTTTTCTAACGAAATAAACTATTTGTTAGTGTCTAAAAGTTGCTAATTTCAGGCTTCTATAACCTGAGGTCTAGAAGAAAAACGACATCAAAACTTTGGAAAAAACTTATTTTAGATAACGGTAAATTTGAACGGCTTTTTTGTTTTTTTTTTTCAAAGTTTAACTATAGTATGCCTCGGTAGGAGAAGCAAGCAACTGCTTTTCTGCGTTTGCAAAATTTGAAAAATGCTTATGGTTTCATTGCAATAAATAGTTAAATAATGAAATTTTTATGGTTATGGGGGGATAGAACTTGAGGTAAAACAAGTTTTTAGTAAAGACCTATGCACATATAAAATTTCAGCTTTCCATCTTCCCCCTTAATAAAAACTATCTTCATCCCATAAAAAGTAAACTCAAAATATCTCACACACAGAATGGAACATAATTTCAAAATTACAGACATAATACTTGCAAGGCTTATGTCTAATATCGAATTCTGAGTCGATTTAGCTTTGTCTGTCCGTCCGTCCGTCCCAGCGATATTTCAAAAACTGTATTATTAGAGCGGTTATGTGTGATAAAAATGATTGAAATATCTTGACTCATAGTAGCCGTTAGCAGTCGTAGAACTTCAATAATAGTATGGCCAAGAAAATATTAAAAATACGATACTGAAGTTTTGCATAAATTAATATGGTAATATGGCAACTTAAAGTAAGTATGACATAGCCAACTATGACATATTTATTCGCACACAGGATAACAAATTCGTATGGGTATCACAGAGTTGACGCGGTCAACTCTATTTTTTCTCGTTTTCAACTAAAAAGTTTTGAAAAAAAAAGGTTTTTGAAAATAAAACCTTCGACATAACCAATAAGTACATGTATTTTGAAAGCTTTGTAATTTTAAAATATTTTAAAACACTAAACTTTACTTTACAAAACCTATACATTGAGAAATATATGATGTAATTTTTTCACGAAAAGTACTATAGCAGACACTTTGCATATAAAAGCTTCCAAAAGTTTTTTGAAGTTTTATAAAGTTTTAAAAAAACTTTTTTATACCAGACAGACCTACTATCCGTGACTTCAATAATGCTTTATAAAAAGTTTAAGTAATACGATTATAGTACGATTAATACGATTGTAGTACTGTCTCAGAGTTTTCAATACCTTTACATTGTAAAAAAAACTGCTAAAGCTTTTGATACATTTTGGAATACAATTTTTGAAATATATATAATTTGACGTTTGTTTGAAAATTTCAATTTAAAGTTCTGGACAAATTTTAATTTTCAGCAAACGTTTCCACATCATTAAAAATATAGCAATTTTATGCTGCGTTTTAGGAAAAAAAACTTAAAAACTAGCACTTTATTGCTGAAAATATATGCTAGTTTATATAATTGGTTATTTCTGGTGACATTTATATGACATGTATAAGAAGAGTGTGCTCGATTTTTTCGATACCCAATTTGCTTTTATTTTACGTATCCACTAGGTATAGAACACATTTTGGAAAAGTGTACAATGTCAAAAGCTTTTACTAAACTTTTTGGAATGTGATACTTTATAAAGTTTAGCTTGTAAACGCATGTATTGAACCCACGGTATGTATGAAGGTAATTTAGATAATTTTAGTTTTTGAGCCTTTTTTTCAGCCCGAAGAAAATGTGGAAAAGTTTGAAAAAAAATTAAATACAACTGCATATCGTCGAAAAGGTTTTGGAAAACTTCAACTATGCAATATGGGAAAAATATACGAATAAAGACAATAATATTTAATTACTTTCTTTCCAATTATTTCTGAGAATTACACGCTAGAGCTTGCTTGAATTATAAAACAATGAAAGGATTTAAATCAATTAAACAATTTCATATTGAAAATAAAAATTCGATAAATTCGAATTCCTTAACTTGAAAAAAATTATATTTAAAATTTTTAAACGATAATAAGGCTTCGCGATATGACTTAACAACACCCCAGATGCATAATTATAGTTTTTTTTAAAAGTGATCTTGTTATTTACGATAACATAACATCGTTATGTTGAAATATACGATTTAGATTTTTTTTCCTACTAGTTAAATTCAAAATATAATTTTCTTCAATTATTCGAATTCGAAAATTTTTTTTCCTGACGTTTCGCCTATAAATCAATTTGCTTATACCAGAATAAATAATTTATAATAAATAATTTTTATTTTATAGTAGAATATAGATTTAATTAAGATATACTTAATTCTCACTTTCTTTGGTTTTTTAAACAACAGCTAGCTACGAGTTTCATCATCTGATAGATATGTACGAAGTAATTCGGGAAAGAGCGGGTTCTCAATATTTGATCATTATTATCTTATTAGATCACTTAACGGAGATCTACAAAAGTGTTATTTATTAAAAAAGAATAAGTCACGATTTTAAAAATTTTAGTAAATTCATTTATTAAAGCTATTGAGTTACTTATGTTAAAATCAAATTAAAATTTTTTCAGTAACTTAATGTTCTAACATATAAGAAATGTATAACATATTGTTAAAACATTATTGTCATATAAAATTATTATTTTAGCCCTGATGAAGATTTAAAATTAAATCGAAACGTTGGTGAAAAGTTAAAGAACTTTGTTTTATTTGTCCTACACCAGACTACACTGTCATTAATATACATTGCACACAAGTGCATACCCTGTGAATTCAAAAATAGTTTAGTAGCGTTTCAAGTTATAGAGAAACGCATTTCTGACACTAAATTATTAATTACAAGAAAAACAAAATGCAACGGCTAAATAATATAAAATAACATACATTATTGGCTTTGTTTTACATGTTTTGTGTGCATATGAATTGAGTTTCCAATTACACGTGATTTAATAATGTGCCATACACGTAAATTTTAATAAAAACATGTTACAATTAAAAATATTTAAAAATTTATTCCAAGTTTCCTCACAACTGAAAAAAGCCGACAACGAAAGTTCGATGAGAATACGAAATCATGTGTAATACAACCTAATTCGTATTTCGAAGTATTTTATAATAAAAAAACAAAATTAATATAAAATATTAAAAAATTTATTAGTTTTTTACAATCTTTACAATAGTTGCAATTGTAATAACATATTTAATCTCTTACTGGTTTAATATAAAATAGAAAATGGAAAAATTTTAGTAAGAGGAGAAAATTTTAGTCTAATTATTAACAGGGTTGTGGCACAATACTGAATCCACCACCAAATCCAACTAAAGATGTTAAAATTATTGATACTTGTCCAATTATTTGACGCAGTATTATAAGGACACCAATAATTAAATCTTTAGTGCATCCACAGCCGCATCCTCCGACAATTATGCCCAATTTAGTAAATATTGAAGTCAATGCTCCAGCTATTGCCGCTAAAACTTGGAACAAAGCTGACAATATAGAGCATATCGTTTTGTTGGATACCACACCAACTAATTGTAAAATGAGACCCAGTATTCCATTTAATAAACCATTGATAAGCAACTGCAAACCACCGGTAGCTCCTAATGTGGCTAATAAGTCTTGCAAAAGTTTAAGTAAACTAGTTGAAGTTTGACTAATCAATAATTGTATACTGGCTAACAGAGTTGTGATAAATGATTGAATGCCATTGGTTCCGTTAAGTATTTGTTGAATAGATGATACTATTCCACTCGTTAATACAATTTGAGTTCCTCCAACAGATCCAAGGAGCGCTTGAAGTACAAGTCCTATTTGAGCAAATATGTTACCAGAGATAGCAACCGAGCCAGAGATTGATCCCCCTATTACACCAAGCAGATTTTGTAATACATTCCACCCACTTACTCCAATTATGGGTTGTAATAAGTTTCCAAGAATAATTAATAAATTTCCGAGAATTGCTCCCACACCTGTTACATTAACACCAAAAATAGTGTTCAAAAGAACTTGGACGTTAAGGTTAGCTATTCCGATTATTGATGTGATTAAGCTTGTTAGTTGAGTAGAATTGATGATAGGAGCTAATACACATGTCAAGTTACCAAATAAGCCCGGAGCCAAGCTTAAAATATATGCAAGCAAACTCGATAAAAGACCTGTATTTCCACCGCTCAAACCAAGTAATTGGATGACTGATGCGCTTAAAGAACTTGAAGAGCTAGTAACAATACTGGCTGCTTGTGCAGTAGCTGAGCTTGAGCTAATAGAACCACTAGAGCTACTGGAGCTTTGAGCAGTGGCTGCTGCTAAAGCTGTTGCTTGTGAGGTTGAACTGCTACCACCGCTACCGCTAGAAACGGCTGATCCTGAAGCGGCACCAAGTGCACTGCTTGAGGAGCTGGAACCACCTGATCCTGAGTTACTTGAACTTTGAGCAGCGGCGGCAGCTATGGCTGCTGCTTGTGAGCTTGAGCTGCTACCACCATTTCCGCTGGAAACGGCTGATCCTGAAGCGGCACCGAGTGCGCTGCTTGATGAGCTGGAACCACCTGATCCTGAGTTACTTGAACTTTGAGCAGCGGCGGCAGCTATCGCTGCTGCTTGTGAGCTTGAACTGCTGCCACCATTTCCGCTGGAAACGGCTGATCCTGAAGCGGCACCGAGTGCGCTGCTTGATGAGCTGGAACCACCTGATCCTGAGTTACTTGAACTTTGTGCAGCGGCGGCAGCTAAAGCTGCTGCTTGTGAGCTTGAACTGCTACCACCTGATCCTGAGTTACTCGAACTTTGTGCAGCGGCGGCGGCTAACGCTGCTGCTTGTGAACTTGAAGTGCTACCCCCTGATCCTGAGTTACTTGAACTTTGTGCAGCGGCGGCAGCTAACGCTGCTGCTTGTGAACTTGAAGTGCTACCACCTGATCCTGAATCACTCGAACTTTGAGCAGCGGCGGCAGCTAACGCTGCTGCTTGTGAACTTGAAGTGCTACCACCTGATCCTGAATCACTCGAACTTTGAGCAGCGGCGGCAGCTAACGCTGCTGCTTGTGAGCTTGAACTGCTACCCCCTGATCCTGAGTTACTTGAACTTTGTGCAGCTGCGGCGGCTAATGCTGCTGCTTGTGCACTTGAACTGCTACCACCTGATCCTGAGTTACTTGAACTTTGAGCAGCGGCGGCAGCTAAAGCTGCTGCTTGTGAACTTGAAGTGCTACCACCTGATCCTGAGTTACTCGAACTTTGTGCGGCGGCGGCGGCTAATGCTGCTGCTTGTGAACTTGAACTACTACCACCTGATCCTGAGTTACTTGAACTTTGAGCAGCGGCAGCAGCTAATGCTGCTGCTTGTGAACTTGAACTGCTACCACCCGATCCTGAGTTACTCGAACTTTGTGCAGCGGCGGCAGCTAACGCTGCTGCTTGTGAGCTTGAACTGCTACCCCCTGATCCTGAGTTACTTGAACTTTGTGCAGCGGCGGCGGCTAATGCTGCTGCTTGTGAACTTGAACTGCTACCACCTGATCCAGAGTTACTTGAACTTTGAGCAGCGGCGGCAGCTAAAGCTGCTGCTTTTGAACTTGAAGTGCTACCATCTGAACCTGAGTTACTCGAACTTTGTGCAGCGGCGGCGGCTAATGCTGCTGCTTGTGAACTTGAACTGCTACCACCTGATCCTGAGTTACTTGAACTTTGAGCAGCGGCGGCAGCTAAAGCTGCTGCTTGTGAACTTGAACTGCTACCCCCTGATCCTGAGTTACTTGAACTTTGTGCAGCGGCGGCGGCTAATGCTGCTGCTTGTGAACTTGAACTGCTACCACCCGATCCTGAGTTACTCGAACTTTGTGCAGCGGCGGCGGCTAACGCTGCTGCTTGTGAACTTGAAGTGCTACCACCTGATCCTGAGTTACTCGAATTTTGAGCAGCTGCTGCGGCTAACGCTGCTGCTTGTGAACTTGAAGTGCTACCACCTGACCCTGAGTTACTTGAACTTTGAGCAGCGGCAGCTGCTAACGCTGCTGCTTGTGAACTTGAAGTGCTACCACCTGAACCTGAGTTACTCGAACTTTGTGCAGCGGCGGCGGCTAATGCTGCTGCTTGTGAACTTGAACTGCTACCACCTGATCCTGAGTTACTTGAACTTTGAGCAGCGGCGGCAGCTAAAGCTGCTGCTTGTGAACTTGAAGTGCTACCACCTGATCCTGAGTTACTCGAACTTTGTGCAGCGGCGGCGGCTAATGCTGCTGCTTGTGAACTTGAACTACTACCACCTGATCCTGAGTTACTCGAACTTTGAGCAGCGGCAGCAGCTAATGCTGCTGCTTGTGAACTTGAACTGCTACCCCCTGATCCTGAGTTACTTGAACTTTGTGCAGCGGCGGCGGCTAATGCTGCTGCTTGTGAACTTGAACTGCTACCACCTGATCCAGAGTTACTTGAACTTTGTGCAGCGGCGGCAGCTAAAGCTGCTGCTTGTGAACTTGAACTGCTACCACCCGATCCTGAGTTACTCGAACTTTGTGCAGCGGCGGCGGCTAACGCTGCTGCTTGTGAACTTGAAGTGCTACCACCTGATCCTGAGTTACTCGAACTTTGTGCAGCGGCCGCGGCTAATGCTGCTGCTTGTGAACTTGAACTGCTACCCCCTGATCCTGAGTTACTTGAACTTTGTGCAGCGGCGGCGGCTAATGCTGCTGCCTGTGAACTTGAACTGCTACCACCTGATCCTGAGTTACTTGAACTTTGAGCAGCGGCGGCAGCTAAAGCTGCTGCTTGTGAACTTGAACTGCTACCACCATTTCCGCTGGAAACTGCTGATCCTGAAGCGGCACCAAGTGCGCTGCTTGATGAGCTAGAACCACCTGATCCTGAGTTACTTGAACTTTGTGCAGCCGCGGCAGTTAAAGCTGCTGCTTGTGAGCTTGAGCTGCTACCACCATTTCCGCTGGAAACGGCTGATCCTGAAGCGGCACCAAGTGCGCTGCTTGATGAGCTAGAACCACCTGATCCTGAGTTACTTAAACTTTGTGCAGCCGCGGCAGCTAAAGCTGCTGCTTGTGAGCTTGAGCTGCTACCACCATTTCCGCTGGAAACGGCTAATCCTGAAGCGGCACCAAGTGCGCTGCTTGATGAGCTAGAACCACCTGATCCTGAGTTGCTTGAACTTTGGGCTGCGGCTGCGGCTAAAGCTGCTGCAATAGCGCTTGAACTGCTGCCACCATTTCCGCTAGAAACAGCCGCCCCTATTCCAGCACCCAATGCACTGCTTGATGAGCTGGAACCACCTGATCCGTGAGAGTTACTTGAACTTTTCGCTGCAGCTGCAGCTAACGCTGCAGCAAGGGCACTTGAACTGCTGCCGCCATTTCCGTTGGATCCGGCTACTCCTAAAGCGGCTCCCAAGGCGCCACTTGAAGAACTCGAACCACCTGATCCATGAGATTGACTTGAACTTTGGGAAGCAGCTGCAGCTAATGCTGCTGCAAGGGAACTTGAACCGCTACTTACGCTAGAGCCAGCTGCTCCTAAAGCGGCACCCAGAGCGTTGCTTGATGAGCTTGAGCCACCTGATCCATGTGAATTACTAGAACTTTGGGAAGTGGCTCCAGCCAAAGCTGCAGCTAGCGAATTTGAACCACTGCCGACATTTCCACCAGAAACAGCTGCACCTAAAGCAGCACCTAATGCGCCGCTTGATGAACTGGAACTACCTGAACCGTTTGAGTTACTTGAACTTCCAGCAGCAGCCCCTGCTAAAGCTGCTGCAAGGGAGCTTGAACCACTACCACCACCGATAGCAACAGATGATCCCAACGCAGTACCAAAAGCTAAAGCTGATGAGCTTGATCCACCGGAACTTGGTGGTGGGGGTGGTGGCGGAGGTGGAGGCGGTGGTGGAGGTGGGGGTGGGGGTGGAGGTCCGCCGCAAGGTCTTGGATTTGCGTTGACCTACAAGAATTAGTAAATCAATAATAATTAATTAATTAAAAACAAAAATTACCGCTGCAATCGTTAGAGATAAAATTAAGAGTACTAAAGTATTCATATTTAATTGTTGGTTTTAAACAAGAACGTTTTTAGTATCGATCAAAGTTCTAGTAATTGAGTCTTTGAGTATTCGCGAGCGAATGATACCATTTTTGAATTATTTCCAATTATTTATACGAAAAAAATTTTAAGTGGTTTTAAAAATAACTCAATATATTCGAAAAACAATTAAATCGCCAAAACAGTGTATTTAAATAATTTTGTTGTATTTATAATTTGTTGGACTCGAAAAACTTTTATGGAAATAAATGTACTTGTACGTATATGGAAGTAAGTATATAATATTGTTGACCCTTTAACTCTAAAATGCCACATAATACAATTGTTCTTAGCTTAGTTATACACAGTTTTACAAATTTTCCTAAAATAAAGAAATTTTCAGGAATTTAACGATATAATATTGAATATTTAAGCGTTTCTTAAAGTTATAAAAAAATTCTTATTCAAACGATACAAATATCTATTCCTCACAAATTAATGATATATGATATTAGTTACAAGCAACAAAATTTGTGAGTGAATGACTCTATATGTAGATTATGCGGAAGAGTTAAGGAATCGGTATTTTCAACTAGTATATATATAACTAAAATTGTTATTAAATTTTATATTAGTCATAAGTTCTGAATTACTGAACTAAAAGGAGAATGCACGAAATCTATAAACCACTTACTTTCTTTCGAACATCAATGCTAAAGTGGAATACTGTATTTAAGAACGTTAGAACATTCTAATTAAGATATTATTTGGAAATAATTTTCAAAATCGAAAATTTCGAACAATCAAGCAATTCGAACCAGTTCGCTCTAACTAAATGTCAGCATGCTTTCGATCCTTACTTAGGTCCTCTTAAAGACAAAAATTAAATAGGCTTAACTTAAAATAAACTATAAAAATGCTTAAATTCTTTCTGACATTTCCGAATGGCACAATATATGTACGTACGTACATACATATACTCGTATGTAGCTTTAATAAATTCTCAACAAAATTTTTTTATAACATAATTTAAGAATTTTAAAGTTTTGAGAATAGGATTTTTTTTCATTAAAATTTTAATTATAAAAGCATTCAGAAACAATTTCCTTAATAGGAAATTATTATTTCATATAGAAATAATATATAGAAACTACAAACTTAGTACTTTTCTCTATGATTCTTAATGTGCTGTGTATCTCATTTATATTGTGTTTGTTGTCATTATTATTTTAGCCAGGATAATCGTCATAATTACAATTGCCATCATAACAATTTTTTAAAGAAAGATTTTAATAAAGAAAGGCAAAAAGACATCAGTTTTATATTAAACAAGAAAACAGTAACAAAAATGGAAAAAGAAAATTGAATGAAATAAAAAGAAATTTAGAATTTTTCGACAAAACGAAAATAAAAATCTATTTAATTTACACAAAAACGTAAAACGTTTATCACTAGAAACAATAACAATTTTATTTTTGTGTCATTTAAATTTACTAAAATTTTTAAACATTACTAATTTATTATTTCTACTCGTATAATATCACAAGCACGTGAAGATTAGAAAATTAGAACAGAAAGGTGTGGAGTTCTTGTTTTTGAAAATTATGCTGGTTTTTGAGCTATAACCTAGTGACATACTCGTTTTTGAGCTACAGTCTGTTGAAAAAAAAAGTACCAGATAATTCCTGCAAATGCTTATAGCTTCGAAACCATGCGACATACTGTAACCATTGATTGCTTTTTCTTTTCGGTCCTACAACCACTTAGATTTGAGCTTTGAGTTTTCGAGGCGAAGCTCATCAAGGTGAGAATTTTTTTGAATTTTCTTTTAAATTTCTAGAAAATTTTGTGCTATTTTTGTTTTGTTTTTTTTTTTTGATGCACTACTATGAGACCCAAAAGTTAGCCCATATAACATTTTACTTTATCTCTCATGGTTTTGTCATTAAAGCGTAAAAAGACGTAAAAAGTAAAAAACTATTTTCGAAATATTAATTAATAGTTTATTTTGCATCATAATGAGTACCCGTATATTTTTATTTTAAATTAAATTCATCTGGCGTTTGCTCTTACGAAAAATCAATATTTTATTATTATTCTTCGTAGTAGATACATAAAGTATTTATTTTTGCTAAAGAAAAATATAATATGTAAAGGTCAAAATAATGTACATATTAAATAAACAATTATTTTGATCTATAGGAATATTGAAAAGAATTTATTTTTTTATTGTAGAAACAGATGAAAAAAGAAAAATTATGTAGTTTAGTATATAATATTAATCTTATATACATACATACATGTACATAAGATTAATATTATTAACATATTTTTTATATCTGGATAATCACAAAATTTGTAAAACAATTTTGACAACTCAAGTATTTATATAGGTATAAAACGTCAAATTTCAAAAGTTTTAGTAGAATTATTAAATTTATTGAAGAGGATATTTTATATAATTCCTTAAAGCCTTTCGAAAATTTAAGGCTGGAGAAAAAATAAATGCGTTTATCTAGGATCTTGTAAATCTATAAAATTTAGTGTAGAGAAAAAACACCTGAAATTTTTTAGAGATCTACAATAAAAATCTGTATATTACAGCACAAATTTTGCATATTACCAAAATTAAACAGAAAAAAATTACATACTCTTTATGTTTTAAACTACATCTTCGAAAGAGTCAGAATCATACTGATGCTAATTCAACTTCTACGGTTCTAATTTACCACTATCCTGTATTTTAAATTAAAACTGATTAACAATCTACTCATTTTAGCTTATGTAGAGAAATTCTATGTATATGACTATTAAAGTTATTCTAAGGCTACAAGAAACATTAGAATAAAACAAACATTAGAATAAGCAAAGTTTATTTTTGATTGCAATTTACTTAAATTTTTTTTTGTCTTTCGACTTTGGTTTTTACAATTATGTACTTAGGAAATAAAACACAAAAATTATTTGATTTCCTTTTTATATTTTTATCATATTCATTCTTTATTCAGTTTTAACCCTTTTAAACACAATGATCTATATATAAGTCATACATAGCGTACCGTAATTATACATATGTTACATGCATGCAAATGTAAAATGGAAAGGGAAAGCTCTATATGAAAAATGGTATTTGAAACAGTAAATTTATCTGTTTATACTTTTGTAATGAAACTTCAGTAACTCTTATACTTTAATAATGAAAACAAGCAAGTGAACTCTTATACAACATTAAAACTGTTAAAGCAATCTTCATATTATAATCGAACATTACTAAATTCCATACAAGTACTATTGATACTATGTACCTACAAAACAAGGGGTTATTTTTATCATTTAAGAATAGGTTATTACACTATTGTTTTATAATTAAATAAAATTGTCTTAATAAAAATATCAATAAAACTTAAAACAATTTAAACAATAATGTTCATTTTCCTTTCGTTTTTTATTGTTTTACAACAATAAAACAGCTTTTATTTAATATTTAAAATTATTAAAATTTATTTGTACATATTTTCTGCGATTATATTATTATTGAGCATTTAAAATTTAAACAGTTGAGTAAATAAAAAAAAAAATTTTAAACAAATTTTATTTATTATTATATTTCTGACCAATTTTCAACAATATTATTATTCACTGTTATTGGTGAACTTGTAAAATAAAATTAAAGCATTAAAATATAGTTTATAAATAGAAAGAATTAAAAAGAAAAATAAAGAAAATATTTATGACGACAATAATAAAATAAAAATAATTAAAATTTTATTTTTATTTGATTGTTGAATGTAAAGTATGTATTTAACAAATATACGTATCGTATATATATTATATGTATAGCTTGTTATACATAAAAAAATTACATAGTATTAAAATTCTGTTTTAAAATTAAATTAACGAGTCTTTTGCAGGACCTAACAACGGAAGAAGCTTAATTTTACAAACAATATGAAAAAATGTGTTAAATATTAATAGCAGTTTTGTCATTTTCATAAATTGGTCGTTTTTAACCTAGCTTTACCAGTTTTTGACTAAATAAAAGTCGCATAGTTCAACTTTATTACGAATTAAAATATATCAAAAATATTATAGCTATCAAATTTTAGAAAATTTCTAAAAAATTTAAAAAAGAGTTTAAATTTCTTTTAAATTTTAGTTTTTGAGAATTTGTAGTCTGCACTACTACGTAACTACAATACCACATTCAATTACTTTAAATCACTTACAAAAATTAATTGAACAAATTAATTTATTTTTCAACAAGTTAGTTAATTCAATAATGTAGACTCACCTAAAATGAAACAAAAAAAAAATTTATATTAATTTTTGGTTCTCATATAAATTGCACAAAATAATATTTTTAAAATTAAAGACTTAAAATTTAACTTTAATCTTAACTTAATGCGAAATAAAATTTTTATTGAATTTGAGATCTTTAAATTATATTTTCCACGTCATTTAGATTCTCTCATCAAGTAAAGACAAGCCTTAAAAAAAAAATTCAAAATTCGAATACATTTGAAATATTCGGGAAAATTAGTATATTTACTCGGTGTTATTTATTTTGTAACGAAACAAAACTTTCTACTGTTAAATTGTTATTTTCGAAATCGCTTATAAGTGAAAGTTCTTTAATATTAGTAAGAACCTTCTAATTCTTACTAATATTAAAGAACTTTCAATTTTGTTTTCAAATTTACTTTTAATTCTTTTAGGTTTCCCATTTCATTCTTTTTCGTTTTTGTACCTTATTTTTTCTATTAAATGTTAAAAATACCATTATAAATCTTGAAAATATTAAAATCTTAAATAAAAGCAATTCAAATAAAATAATATAGGGTGAGTTCTTTTATTTTTAGTTTTTCCTGCTTCCATTTAAAATATTTCAGGCGCGATTCATTGCTAACATAAAATCGATTCAATTTGATTTGTAGTAATTTCACTACAGAGAGATTGAAATCCAAACTGATGAATTGATTGATCATTTTTGTTTTAGAGTTTTTTGGAATTTTTTTGTTT